GCCCGCCCGCCCTGCCTGGGAGCAGCTCCCCCGCCCCAGCTTTAACCCCCCGGTACAAGGGGGAGAGCAAGATACCGGGGAGGAGTCCAGGGGAGGGGCACTGAAACGGTCGGGGGCTTCAGCACGTGATGGATGAAGCGTTTCTTCAGCTTGGGGAAAAAAAAAAAAAAAGCTATTTTAGCTACCTGGAGAAAATTTTAGAAAAAATTAGAGCAAAACTCTGCACAGAACACAATGATACAAAAAGTAAGCCCTACACTGTAGGTTTTTCTTCTATCACAGACTGTTTTACTCAGTTCTGTTCCTATTGTTCTAAATCCAAGTACCAGCTGAAACCCTTTTTACAGTTAGAAAAAGAAACTGAAAATGGAAACTACAATTACATTATTTTAGCATGTTGTTTATTGAATAAGAAGATACAAAGCTCTGATCCCCAGGACATTGGTGAGGTCAAATAGTAGGAGACATTTTTCTTGCTCACATCACACCATTTCCTTCCACCCTATCCAGAATAAAAGATTTTACTCTGACCTTTTTCCAGCTGCCTGTTTTTCTCCTTTTCTAAACTGCTTCTCTTAACACTGCACTGCTATCCAAAACAGTGAGGAAGAAAACCCTCTGTCCACATAGTTTTAATTCTTCAATACAGTCACAGATCTGTTTGTATTTAATATGTGTGGGTTTTTATAGTTTAAGCTTACACAAATAAAACAATTTTAAACGTGCTTTAATTGACCTGAACGCTGCAAATGAGGGTCCTTTCCCCTCTGTCTTCTCATAATTAAATTTCAAGACAAGAACACTGCGATGAAACCCCCCCCCCCGCTTCCAGTTATTGTTTCTTGATTTCTCTTTTCACAGATTGAGAAACTGAAGCAGGAGCTGATTGATTTGAAACAGCAAATGCGAGAAGAGAAGAAGCAGCTGGTGAATGAACTTTTCTCTATCCTCAGAACAGTGGGATGTTCTTAGCAGGCTGAAAAGTAATTCTGATGTTAGTATGAGGAAAAAGCTAGGGCAGTTAACTGTTAGAGGTTTTGATGCAAAAATACTGCATGGAGAAAGAACTTGAAAAAAAAAACAATGGTGATGTAGGAGTTATCCCATGACTCTGTAGTATCATTTCAGATAGTAGTAGGAATATTTTATAGCATCTGAAATAGTATTAGGAACCAGGTGGGTAATGGTAAGGCCAGAGGCACAGCAAAAACATGTTTTATTTTTACTGAGATAAACAATAACTACCTTTAATTCTTTTATAGTTGTCCTTCATTCATTACTCTTGAACAAAGAATTCTTAAAAAGAATGAAAAAATAATTATTTGTTCATCTGTCTTCAATAAGAAACACAGAACTGTGCTCATCCTCACTTTAAGACAGTTATCTCTCATCAAGCAGACTCCACAAGGAACTTTCTCTCACCCTCAGATTATAAAGAGCAGAAAGTCTGTAGATATTAGATGTGGTGGGTTGTCTTTGGCTAGATGCCAGGTGCCCACCAAGCTGCTCTACCACTCCCGCTCCTCAGCTGGACAGGGTGAGAAAAAATACAACGAAAGTCTCATGGGTTGAGGTGGTGACAGGGAGATCACTCGGCTGATGGGCTTGGGCTTGGCCAGTGAAGGGTCTTACTCAGAGCTGGCTGGTATTGGCTCTGTTGGACACAGGGGAAGCTTCTAGCAACTTCTCACAGAAGCCAACCCTGTAGCCCCCCCTCAAAAAAAAAACAAACAAACCTTGCCACACAAAACCAATACAATGATATTATGGATGTTGCTTTAAACTTACTATTAATTTCTAGACTTGTTGCTTCACTGGAGGGTAGCTTCTGCTGAGTTTGCAGCATTTCTTCTAAAGGTGAATTCCTTGCAGTTTTTAAAACACTGCAGCTTGGTGTAATTTCAGACATTCAGTTCTGTGTGCTTTTCTGTGTTACAATATTTGATGATTGGTGTAGTCAACCAGCGGAATTCTTTGTAGTCAGCGTGAGGGGTTCTTGGACACCACCCAGACGAGCCAATTATGATGAAAGTGAAAGCCATGTATTTTGTGTTGCTTACATGCTTTTATACAGAGCTCTTTCAGATTTGGCAGCTACTAATTGGATACAATAATTTTAAATTCTTAACAACAAAATCACTATTGGCTACTTTCAATCCTGGGAAAATAATTTTTGAAGCTATGTCAACACAACCTCTGAGATAACTTAGTTGTGCTAATTAATTTCTCTCAGTTTCTCCTTATCTTTCTCACGTCCTGTATAATTGGATGCCTCTGCACATCTGGTTACTTTTTTTCTTTCCCAGGATCCTCTATCAACCTTATAATTACGAAGCCTAAAGTTGGTATCATAGTTAAAATTCTACTTCAGCACAAAATGCCCCTGCAATTGGTTTCTCTCATTTTGCTTTTTTTCTGATTGAGAATTTTTGATTTGCAGGCAGACTATTATGCCCAACAAGTAAAAGAACTGGAAGAGAAATTTCAGAAAAAAGTCAGAGAAATTGGCCAAATTCAATTAGAATTGAAATTAATAAAGGAGTTCCGCACGGAGAAAGCAGCTATGGAGAAAGAGCTGGAAGATGTAAGTTTGTCATAAATATGCATTTGCAATATTTATTTAAAAAGGAACTTTTCTGTCTGCATGGCGGCATAGAGTTTGGGAGTGGAAGAGAACAGACATGGCCTATCTACTGGATTGTTTTCTTTACAGAGAGTAAGGAAAAGCACTAGGCTGATAAAATGCAAGTTCTATAGCCAGAACTCACTTCTGTAACAGTCCAGTGCTGTAGGGTTGTTTCTGGTGTTTTACACAATAACATGGAATCACAAATATGTATGTGGATGGGCTAAACATTTAGTATACACTTTAAAGATATGTATGGAGGAGCTAGCAATTGACTATAAGCAGTATAAGTCTGACCAATTTTTCACTGGTCAGCTCATTGAGGATGTGAATGCTAGTATTGTTACCATCTTTTGAACCACATAAGCCATTTAGAATATAACACTAGGGACTGTCTTTCACTAAGCTCATATACAGCATTATGACCTAATCAGAGATACTTTGGAGCTATGATACAAACATTAAATAGTAGTATTGCCTGCAAAATGTTTCAGCTTGAGATAAAAAAGTATCCCAGCTGACTGATGACATGAAAAAAGTGCCTTGAGCAATCCAAGTGCCTTGCTGACTCAGCAGTGCTGGAATTTTTTTTTCAACTGCAAGAAGGGGCTTAGAAACAAAACCAGATACTTTCTGTGGAGACAAATGGTTGGTCAACAGCATTTGGATTATTAATACATAGCTGCTTTTAAACTAAGCTATTAAATACGAGTTATTCAGCCTTTTTTCAAAGAACACTTGAGGCGTTGTACTTTGAATTATCTTGATGACTGAATGAATAGGCAAAGTAAAGCAGATTTCTAAAACTGAGCATTAAAAAGGACAGAGTGTGTGTGAATGACTGCCAGTGATGAGAAAATGTGGGCACAGGTGAACTATGAAGGGGGAAGCAAAGCAATAATACAAGTCAGAAAGTTAAGTGAATTTTATAGATTGTGTAAAAATTTGATGAAGACTGCAGGTAGTGCCATGAAAGACTACTAAATTCCTCCTTGAAGAGTACGTCCATGGTTTCAGTTACAAGGCTGAAGTAAAATGTAATTGTTAAAGAGATTTTGGTTTTTATCATATTTACAAGAGAGTATGGAGATCTCAAACAGGAGACATCAGGAAGTGGTTGTGAGATTGGAGAGGAGGTTTCTTGAAGAGAAGGTAAATACTGTCAGGCAGTTAAAGAGACTTATTAGAACAAAATTATTTCTCCGACTACTCTAATTTCTGTAGTTTTCCCAGTTCTTTACTGAGCACTTTACAATTTCCCACATCAACATAAGTGTGATGGATGAATGCAGCTTTCCAAGGAAAAACATGGGATGTCAGGATCCCAGAGAGGCCGTATTCTCCACTTCCATCAGGAACTTCAGTGCTTTTGAGGGTTCATTCTTCCTCTAGGAAGACATTGTGTGAGCTGAAAACTTTGGGATTATTTTAGAATTTACACTGTGTCAGAATTAACTTTAGTGCCACATGCACTAACAGGCTTTTCTCCCTTTCAGAAACGATTAGAAGATGATGTTGAGAAAAAGCAAATAATGATGACAGAGACCACCCAGCATGAGGCTGTTTTGTAAGAAACGCTTGCTTTTCCTGTTTTCTACTTTACGAAACCATTTTAGCACTGTGTTCTAAAGAACAAGTTGTTGGTGTTACTGGGCTGTTTTTGTATTTCGAGTGTCAAGATGATGTCAGCACTTACATTTAAACTGTAAGACTCATGCTGGTTCCAGGGGAGGACTGGAGTTAATATTATCACAATGGTATCACTGTTTTCTTCATTCTCCCAGTCCCACTAGGACTAGAAGCAAAGCTATGACAACTTGGTACAGACCTGTAATAATTTATAGCTTCGCTCTGAAATTAGGACACTGAAATATTGGTTTAAATATTAAAAAACCAAGAAACAAACAATAAAAAACCACCAAAACCAGGAAAGGTTGTGATTAAAGCTCTTGGATTTTGCTTTCCTCTGTCCAGGCAGCTGAACAGCACAGGGAGAGAGGTGTTTAAGGAGAATGCTTGTCTTCACAGCGCATGTGCTAAACAGCTGAAAGAGGCAATGGAATTGCAGAAAATTAAACAGAAGTTAGAAGAGGACAAAACTCTTCTGTTACAGGAGAAGGTTTCTGCTCTGGTTTTAGTTCTGTTTCATTCTCCTCCAGGAAGGGCTACATCTGTATATAGATGTAAATACTAACCTCTCCCTGGTCAGATGCCTCCGCAGTTACTGAATTGGGAGTTGTCTGAAGAATAGCTCTTATTCTATCTTAATTATGGAGGAGAAAGAAGGCAGGGTTTCCTGTGCTAGCCCATTAAGAACAGGTCTCTCTGTAATGTGTACTACATACTAGGTCTTCTTTTGCTGGCTTCTCATGTAAACAAAAACCTGATCCCAGAGAATTATTCACACTCCAGTGTGAAGGTGCCAGCATGCTTACTACATTGTCAGCATTGGGGAAAAAAAACCCCTCCAGATTTGGTGCAAATGAAATAAAAGCCCAAATAATTTCTTCTCATCTTTTAGGAAACCAGTGAGGGTTTAATTCAAAAAAAGATCGTACAGATCAGTCACCAGAAAGCACAGATTGGAGATCTGCAGCGTAAAGTGGAAAAGTTGGAGATGGCCTTATGTCGCATGAGCGAATCTGTGAGAGAGACTCAGAAAACACAGCATCAAACACTGATAGAAAACCAGGCAAGCATGGTGGAGCTCAAGAAACTGCAGCAACTACTAGAAATGAAGGATCGGGAAATGAACCGAGTGAAGAAACTAGCCCGGAATATCTTAAATGAGAGGACTGAGGTGGAAAGGTTCTTCCTAGATGCTCTGGAACATGTGAAGCAAGAGATCATATCCAGTAGAAAGCACTATAAGAAAAAGGCCCAAAAGGCCTATTACAGAAAAATGATGGAGGCATGTGCAGGGAAGGCGGAATTTCCAAAAATTAAAACATTCAAAGGCAACATAAATAGCACAAATAGTGTGTACAGAGACCTAGAGGAAGCAGTGAAGTGCTACTGGTATTGAAACATCAAAAACTAGTCTCTGTCTTCCTACCACACCTGAAAAGACCTTTTGCATGAGATTTGGAATGCTGGTGGATGCTTCTGTAGTGACAATAACTGTATGAGGTGTAATAACCTAGCAATTAGTAATCACTTTGGATCACTGATTTCAACTAGGCTATCACTTTTTGATCATTATTTCTATAGATTAAATTAAAGATAAGCTCGCAAGAGTTATTTGCATATTCTGCCATGTGCTGTGGAATTTGATATTGAAATTCCAATATAGACGTGTTTCTGCCGTTTCCTTTTAATAATTATTTTTACTTCTTTAAACTTTTGGTTTTATAGGCATTGCTCTTCTGGCATTGCTCTTTTGCTTATTACTCACTCCAGTGAGCTAACAACACTGAAGCCTAAAAATTGCAATTAAGATGCTAACAGCTCTTTACTATGTTGCTCATAATTTTAACAGAAACATCCAGTAGATGGCAAATCCAGTCTTTGTTCAACTGTTCTTCCATATGTCGGAAGACCCTGCTTTGCGTTGTGCTCTCAAAGGCTGTTTTTCTCAAGCTTCATAATAGTCTAAAAATTAAGCCATACATGAAATAGACACTGATGTATCAAAATCAAGATCACATGCAGTACAGTACTGATTGACAGGATTACATTTTATAGTGAATAAAACAAAATCTCAGATTTGTAAGTGTGAGTATCTCAGAATTTGTATTAGGATGCAGCTTAATTTGAATTAGGGCTACACAGGCTGCAGTGGCCAATATTACAGGTCTCCAGCATGCTGCTAGGAATCTGTGCCTACAAACTGCAGCAGTGTCCAGGCCCTTGGATTTAAGCCATAGAGTTAAGGTCCCTCATAGCTGTAGTTTGCATACATCCTTGGTGAGAGATCAAAATTGTCCCACTCGCAAATCAAATGTTTGCTTAGTATGCATTGGCTATTGAATAATTTGATGACACATAATCACTTGGAATGCTTTGTTCAGGTTGTTTTATCTCAAAAATGATACAGTGAAACAATGAAACACTGCATGAAGAATCAGAGGTAAAAGTAGTTATGGAGATCTAAGGAAGCTTCTCCTTGGAGCAAGAGAAGGGGGAGGCTGGAACTGAGAGTGAAAATTGGTTATACATATTAACCCTTTTATGTATGAACAGGAGAAGCAAGGGAAGGGCAATGTACTTGAAACTAGTACTAGTTAGTACTAACCCTCCCCCTTCCAGTATTTATAACCACTACACATGTAACAGAAATCATTGGGTTTGTTCCACTTGGTTTAGAGAGCCCTAGATTTAGCAGTTGAAAAGACAGCACTGTATGCTCAGGTTTATTTTTTGAATTTACATGCTATGAATAACTGAACAACAGCAATCCAGAGATAGAATTTAAAACCTGTTTTACACATACAGAATCCATGAGAGATATGCCTTTGACATTTTCTTCTAATACATTCATCTTTTCCATGTTTTTCAGGGAAAAAGTCCAGTTTGAGAAAGTGGATATTAGTGAGTTGACATGGGAACAAAAAGAATGTGTTCTGCGATTGCTTTTTGCCAAAATGAATGGCACCAGTCCATGGTAATACTCTTTCTTCAGCAGGTGATTGCTGAACTTTCCCTGTTACAGGAGCTGGGCTCCTAACTCCAGGTCAGGGGATTCCAGGAAATTGAATCTAACATAAGAATCTATCTGACTGTGGCTTGGTGCAAGATACTTTAACCTTTTGAAAAGGATGATTTAACCTTTTGAAAAAGCTGATGTACTATATATCTGATTTTGGACATGCACCAAACCATCCTGTTAGGTCTTTGTGTGTACTTTCAAAAGAAGAGCAAGTGGAAGTAAATTTTGGTAGTGCTAAGGAAGACAGAGAATTAACTTAGCTCAGTGCAGTGGTATTAATTTTATTCAGTCATTAATGAATCCCTATCCATCTTTACCACACAAGTGAATAACGTATATTGTGACAGTAGCACTCCCCACAGTTATTTCTATACACCTAAAATAATGGCTTACACGGAAAGTTCAAACAGCATTAAATATATTATAAGCTGTGAACTCAGGCATAAGAGGGCCCAAAGAGAAATCTAAAATGCTATAATTTTAAGGTAGTTTGGGGAGACCTAATGCTTAGGGTAGAATATCAGCATCTCTGTGTTGAAAGAGTTGTTTGGTTTTTGTTAGCAAAAGCTCCATTAGTGAAATTTTAGAAAATGTTGTTAAGGTTATTATAGTGGAAGTAAAAAATGTATAATTAAATGATTAATCCATCAGGTTTTATGGTTCCAATTTATGCATGGTTTCATCTCCTTGTATCAGTATTTGCCAACATACAAGAGCACACATAAAGCTGTGGAGTATGAAAGCTTGAGGAATGGAATCCAAACACTTCATTTTAAGTTGACTTACGATTAAACCTAGTTTTTTTTAAAAAAAAAAACCAAACTTTTTTTGTTTGTTTCTCCTCATTCCCTTTTAGTTGTAATGATTTTGCAACAAAATACAGAATTCCATAGTGAACTGAACTCATGTTTGATTCGTGGTGCTGATTTTGGAGAGTGTGCTGCAACAGCTCAGGTGCCCTGGCATTTCTTGCTTCCTGTTTGTTTTAGAAAACAAGTTTGGTGTGGGATTAGAAACCTGTCTGAGCATAAATCACCCTTAGTTAAGATTACTTTGATCTTTTGTCTTCCTCACAGGAAATACACCAGCGTTTTGGCTACTTCAGCCCCAGCTCCCGATGATACTAAAGAAGAAAGCGAATTTGGGTAAGGTACTAAATTATATCACACTACCTAACATCTCCTCAGTCCTGGTTATATATAAATGGATGCAATTGTCTCTCTGTCATCCTTTCCACTTCAGAATACTTTGTTTTGTCTGAAGATCTAAATGTGTCTATACACAAATAAATATATGTGTGACAAGAGAGAGGAATTTTTTATTCATTTTGAAATTTCTGGTCATGTTAATATTTTAGCAGCAGGCATTTAGACTCAGCTCTCAGGAAAAAAAATTGATCTCATGACTCCTCAAAGCCTCCTCTTATTGAAAAACAGGTTTGTTATTTTTGGAGGATTCTCTTGTGAAAGGCCATGACCATACAAGGAGATGCATTTTCAGCTAGTACAGGGAGTTTTGATTAAAAGGCAAAATCTATTAAGCTGATTTTGCGTTCAGAATAGAATCACTTAGAGAGAATGGACCAGGATGAAGATACACAGGCCTGATTTTCAGATACAGCTGTGTAGTTAATTATAATACTCCAAGGCAAGCAATATCAATTTACCCTGAAGGAATAAGCAGGGAGGGATTCTGGCTGCCATCATGGAGTCTCATATCAGATGTTTGGCAGTCAAGCACGCAAAACTTAAAATGTAAGACTCAGACATCAAATTACAAGATAAAGTTCATAAGCTGGAGCCCCAGAGGGATTTATATGGAAAGATGAGAGACACCTCCTTTGGAGAGGCAGACCACCACTTCAAAAAAATGGAGTGGAGGTGAATTGTAGCTTTTTTTTTTTTTTTTTTTTCACAGACAGGGGAAAAAAAACAGAAGTGAAAGTCACAGGACCCAATCCTCAAAGATGGTTGAACTATTTTAACATAATTTTTTGATTTAAAAGTATCAAATAGCTTTGAGAATCTAGACTGCAGTGCCTTCTAGGCAAGAAACAATTTTTAATAGGAGACAAAGGGTTGACTATAAAATTGTATTTTAATGGAGTCTAAAGAAATTTGTTATGAGATACTTTATAATTAGATTATACTTTTGTATAATATAGGAGATACATTCTTCAGCTTCATTTTTATAGTGAATCTTGAAATAAAAAAAGAGAACAAACAGATGGGTGGAAAGCAGTAACAGCAATGAGATGAGGCAGGTACATCATGATGAGTCAGCATCTGCAGCTTGATATAAAAAGGCCTTAATTAACTAAAAAGGGCAGATACAAGATTTGTATTTCTAGTACAATTATTTAAAAACATCTGTTTAAAAACGCTGTTGGAAATTCAGATAATTACAAAAGATGTTTGTACACAAATGAAAAGATTATATAGGTGTCTAGAACAGGTCTGGAGAAAGTAAAGGGATACTCCTGCAATTCTTCAGGGAGCAGGTGAGCTTGATAATAAGGACTGCTTTTGTTACAGGAGAAGCTGGATTTTAGAATGTCTAAAGGAAAGATATAATGGGTTTCAATAGGCCAACAGAAAAGTCAGAATATCAATACTGATTAGTAAGAAAATTAAGGTGTTTTGAGTAGACAATATTAGAGGCTATTAATTAGTATTCCTTTCCCAGATGCCTGAATGAATGCCAATGTCTTAGTGGTGATTTACCTAGAATATTTTACCTTTGCAGGACAGAAGATACTTCTCCCAACGTAATCATTACACAGCAGGCTGAATTATCAGATTCATCATCTTCTGACGTAATCCTTCCGCGTATTCAGATGTTAACACCACAGACAGAGTAAGGCAGCTGTACACTATGCATAAAGAACAGCCACAGCAATTATTGACTCATCTGCACTTTTCATTTTGGAAGTTATCTGGTAAGCAAAACTGTGAATTCTAAATCCTCTGTCTGCTATGCTATTGCTTTGACTACATGTTTGAAATCCATCTGAAATATTTTCCTCCTTCTTAAAATAAAGATTTTATTCTTTCCCAAGCCAGGAGCTCGGATGACTCTGTACAAAGCACTCGTGGTGCTAGTGGATTTGGACTAGTGGTTAGAACTCTGTATTCACGTGTTTCTCTAATTTGATGAAAATATATTTTCAGTTTGTAATAGCAATTTACATAAATCTTAAGAGTTTCTGTGATCAAATGATGTGTGTGTGGAAACAGAAACAAGGCATTCCTTGAAATGCTGTATGAGGAAATTGGTACAGAGGTCCTTGAAATAATGTAAAAGGAAGATGTATACATGGGTTAGAAGAGTCCCAGAGCAGTGTCTGGAAAGAGGGGAATAGAGTCAACATCACACCTATATAATGTCTTACCAAAGAAGAGTCTTATTCTACAGAAATGTATTAGCATGTTTTTAATTCATAATCAAATTGCAAGGTGACATTTTCCCTCTAGCATATAGCAGAGGAAAAACACAAGACAGAAACATTAGTGAATGCACAGCAGTTGCACTAATATAGAACTGTCAGTTAGAAGGCATCTTTACCAGAAGGCAGGATACAAAGTGTTCATGTTCAGGTTGTTTAATTGGAACAAGTCATGGTTAAAATTCTCAGGATAATATTGTTTTCCACGGGTGCTTGAATGAGTTCCCTGCAGATCCCTCATGGCTGGATCATCTTCCAGAAACCACGAATAAGAGCACAGGCCATCCAGCTCCAAAGGCACAGATTCTTAAAAACAGGGTATATCAAGTCTTATCTTTCTCTAGTAACGGAACCTGCAGCTCTTAGAGAACATGACTGTGTTTGAGCAAATGTGACAAGGAGTCAATTGATCAACACAAGAAATACAGCTATAGTCAGGAAACGAAACCAACAGAACAGGTGTGGCTGGTTCCGGATTAAAAACCGCCTGCTGACCTGTTTACTCTCTCTTCCACTCAAACCCACATGATGCCGTGAGGTGAAGATACATATACATGGTTATGTTTCTGCTTCCACAATTTAATTATGTTACAGGCCCTGTAGGTACATATCTTTTAGCACAGTAAAAGGTACCAAAGAGCTTTTGGGTATAGCAGAATTGACAGCAAGCTGGAGAATACAAGCCACGTGCACAACAGGAACAGAAGTTTTGAAGCTGTCAGAGACACAGTGAAGGTAACTGGAATTTCTGTCATCCTTGGACAAGCAATCAAATATGCCTTCCTGAAAAATCCTTAAAAAACTACTTCCCAAGTGTTTTGGAAACTGCTCAACAGATGAAAGATTGACATTTTCAACTCTCAAACTTGCTGTCTTTATTGTATGTTAGTTAAATCACTTCTATGAGACACCCAAGGTGTCCCAGTTATGTCACTCAAAATGAGTATTCATCTTTGAGTAAGGCGAACTCAAAATCTTAACACGTAAGATAAAGAGGCAAAGAAAACCACTACAAAATGTTGTGAAGAGTGAGTTACTAAGGCTAAGATATTGAAGTGGAAACCAGGGTAATGTTCAAGTTCAGAGGGTCTGGAAAGAAACACAATTAAGACCAATCTCACTGTCTGCCCTTTCAATTAGATAAGGTTGTAGGAAAAAAAAGGAGTTCAGCTAGACAAAAAACACTGACAGCAACAGAAAACCCAGACTGTGCATTACATGAGCCTGCCTGATCTGCACAGAAACAGAGGCCATTGAGAAAATGGAGCTTTCTATTCATTCCCGAGGAAATGATCATAGTCAGGTCAAAGCTGGAAAGTGCAGCGTAGAAGGAGAAGGGCACCAGGAACAGCATCTGCAAAGGCAGATTTAGTTTCCCATAGTTGGCATAACAACAGCAGGCTTGGTAAGGGTGGCATCTTCCTCTTTCCATTGAGAAATGATAGTTTTCAGCTGTGTGTAGAACTGCACTCCCTGCAGGAAAGGAGAGACACATGGATAAGATGTTTGGCCTGATGAATTCTTCAGGTCTGCACCAGTGGTGTATCAAGCAGTTTTTGCTCTATCTACAGAGGGTTGAGTTTTCCTCTGTGGGAACAATTCCTGTCAGCCTGTTCCTTTTACCCATTCCCCAAGGATTCTAGTTCTGTGAGAAAGCTTGCTACTTAGTTCTTGCTCCCTTCTCAAATCTCCTAAAAAAAGACCCTTTTTTATATTAAAGAAAAAAAAGTAATTTGCTATTATAACATGCATTTATAATGTGATTTATCACAATTCAACCCAATAGAGTACTCTAAATCAGTAGTTTACCTGCTTCCCATAGAAATTAGTGTCTCCTCTGAAAGAAGCACGAGAGCCGGTGAAAGAAAACATGGGCAGAGGTACTGGGATTGGAACGTTGACACCCACCTAAACCAAAGGAAAGCTGCTGTATTAATCACAAGTAGTAGATTGCAGAGCACTCTCCAAAAGCTACAATGTCTTGTTTCCTTAATTCTATGGCTGGGTACTGTTGGCTGAGTAGTCAGTGATTAGTCACTACAGCTGGATGGCTACCCACTGTAAATGGTGAGTACTAATAGCAACAATTCTAGCTCGAACATACCTGCCCCACATCTACTAAGTGAGAATATTTCCGAGCTGTGGCTCCATTTGTGGTGAAGATTGCAGTTCCATTTCCATAGGGGTTATTGTTCACCATCTCAATGGCATCATCCAAAGTGTCTGCTTCCAGAACCACTAAGACTGGCCCAAATATTTCCTCCTTGTAGCAAGTCATGCTTGGCTGCCAAGACAAACAGCAGAAAAAGCAGCTTGTATATATATCATAAAAGTATCCTAGGAAATAGGATGCAATAAACACACATACTGCTAATGCTCTGGATATTCCTAGGATCGCTCATCACACCACATTGCCACAGGCCATCCTTCACAGTCCTCCTTGCCTTTTCACTATTTCCCATACCCTGCCATCTACCTAGTCTGCTACAGAGGGCACCACTTTTCATCTCCAGAGCACCTTCTGCTTTTACTCCCTGCCTGACCTCACTTACAGGTCTATTCTGACCACGGCTGATTAAGACCGGGATGAATTCAGGACAGTTTACTTCAGTTCTTGTTGCCATACTGACCAGAATCTGCTATCCTCTCCAATTCAGTGCCCAGGTTTTATGTCTGATAATTAGCAACATTGACAAATACAACAACACCAGTTGGAGATTACTTTAATCACTAATAACTAATACAGCAAACTACAAAACATTCACTTGACAAGTTGTAAGTTTTACGTGGCTATCATTAACCGTATCACTGTATAAGAAAACTAAGAATCACAATATCTCAGTTAAACTTCTACTTCTGAATGCCTAACAATATTTATGACGCATCACAAGGAAGTGAAGCATTTTAAGATGCTTAATGAAAATAAGGCAAGAAAATTCTGAGAGAGATTAAAAGCCTCAATTATATAATAGCATGAAATCAATAAAATCCCGACAATACAATGTACAATAGCAGAATTCTCAAGATTGGTTTGCTATCATGGAATCACTCACCAAAAGGCCCATGATGAACTGAATACGTAAGGAAATCATGCCAGCTAATTGCATAAATATAAAATAATTAATTTAGGTATGAATACTCACATGGATGTGTGCCTGGTAAAGAATATTCCCCCATAGTAGTGCCCACCTGTTGCACACCATGTATTATATTGAGAGGCTGACTCAACAAATTTGTGAATATATTAAACAATGAAGAGATTTTGTACCTTGCCCTGTATTATTCTCATTAAGATTTCCACATTATTTAACTTTGGTTTCTGCAAGTCTCTAAATTGCCAGCTGCAGGAATATATACTGGAAAAGGAAAATTGGAAGTCTGGCTGTTCATCATACTCTTTTTAGGCATCTGCTACTGGCCATTAATACAAACACCACACTATGCTCAGTAGACGTTTATTTTGAGACAGCACAAATTACCCATATGTTCTTTTAATTGGCTGCATGCCATTACAGTTAAGATCATTAACCTCATTCAGAGGTTTCTGCACTCCTGAAAATTCTTTTGTCACCTCCAGAACAGCATTTCAATGAGCACTTCACTGGAATTGTGCAAGGGAAAGCTGAGCCATTTACGGGCTTTCTACCTGGTAATTACTGACTACTGACTGATTTGGCTAACTCGTTTTTTCAGCTGACCCTGCCATATCCAGCATCAAGCACTGGTTTCGGTCATCTTACCTTGACATTGGCAAGGATTGTTGGTCCAACAAAATTGCCGTTTTCGTAGCCTTTCACTTTGATATTACGTCCATCCAAAAGAAGGCTGGCACCTTCTTTTATTCCTTGCTCAACCAGGCGGCAAACCCGTTCTTTAGCTTGGGGACTGATTAGAGGCCCTAGATCTGCTCCAGGCTGGTCTCCTGTGAAGAGGCAGACACACCAACTTTTTAGCCCTGACAGCTTCGTCTTTATAGGCATCATGGAGATAACTACATTGTCAGGAAAAATCTGAAAATCCTGATCTTTCTGAGATACAGAACAAAGATTTGAGACATTAATGAACAGGAGTAATAGCCTGCAACTCTCATAATCGACAAATAAGATTAAGCATAAACATAATTTTGGAACACCGGGAAGCCAAAATTCAACAGCAGATTTTTCTCAGAAAGGAACTTTTCCCCTTTGCAGGATTTTATTGAATGTGAACAGAATTAATATGTCCAGTTTTTCCAAAGTACTGTTTCCATTTTTCCTTTTTATAGCATGCTTACTACAAATTGGAAGGATCTCTGAGGTTGCCATATAAATAGTAGGTTTGAGTTAAACATAGGACATAACCTCAAATCTCCAGTTAAAATAAGACTGATACTGTAAACCTTGCATCACAGTTGTACTGCCAAGCCTTCATACATATTCCTAACTCCAACTCTAGGGCTGTATTTCCCAATCCAGACAATCTGCTAGCTCCTACCCCTACACATCAAACCTTTAGTGCCAATATCTCCAAGGGACACATCATAGTATGGCAGATGCACTGACCTAAAAAGCTACAGTTGTACAGAAGGGAAGTACCTTTTAAGATATTTATCACAGTCTGTACCTGCATTTACACGTAGATTTTTGGCTCTGTCCACAAGCTCTGGCAGCCATTTTTGAGCTTCTCCCACTAGAATTGCTGTAGACAGGGCCATGCAGCGTTGGCCAGCTGCTCCAAAAGCAGCTCCAACCAGCTGGTTCAAGGTGTTCTCTTTATTGGCATCAGGCATCACCACACCATGGTTCTTGGCTCCCTGAAATGTAACACATACATAGTCTCCCATTATTAACCACCCCAGCCCACTTCTCTAGTTCTCTGGCAATATCTTCATACAGTAGCTATGACTTTGCTGACAACAGGCTGGCAAGAAGGGCAGCCTCATCACTTAACTATCAGTAGCAAAGTCAGCTTCTGCTGCTGAGTGGCGTGGTCTCTCTTAACATTCACAGGAGACAGAGGCAGTCAATGTGTTGAAGTCTGCTCCCTTCAGAGGCATTACCATGTTGGCCTGGACTCTCTTGCCATTCCGGGATCCTCTCTCATAGATGTACTCGCCAGCCTGATTAGATCCCACAAAGCTGATTGCTCTGATATCCGGATGGTCACAAATGAAATTCACAGCTTCAAACAGGAAATAATACATTATATACTGTGGTGCACAAATGCTCCCCTCTCTGTCCCCACAGTGCTAAACCTATGTATCTTTCTTATCACAATTCCTGCCTCTGTGTTTCCTACATTTGAGTTCCCCTACTGTCTGTCCATGCATCTAACTTCTCAGCATGTGTACTCCTGCCCCTGTGCTATTCACCTTGCTCACTGCCATCTCTTCGTGCTCTGGGCATCACCCAAGGTGCCCTGGGATGCTGAAGCAGAGTTACTGTTGTCTATTTGTATTCTTGTGTTCTGAAGGTACATGTGTGCTGTGGAAAACATCACATCGGGAGCTAAAATACTGACATCCACACCATATTCAGTGAGACATTTCATTCTTGTTTAGGCTTCCCTGTGAAATTGAGATGATTTATCTACTTATTTCAGTTGGAGCTTAGGTTGCTAAATAGAATTTGAGCACTTACATGCCTTGGGAACTCTAACCCCACTCCCCAAAATTTTGTCTACTATATGTCCCGAAAGATTTGGTGCAAGATGGCAGAGAATCTCCCAGTCACCTCCCCTCCATCAAGAAGGCTGAAGCATCTGTCCAAACCTATCTAACAGCAGTAGTATCAGACTCTCCAACTTCTTTAGTACCTCCACTGAACATACACCACAACACTTACTCCAGCCATCTCCCAAGAGCTATTATTACCTTCATGTTGTCCATGGATTATATTCAGGGTCCCATCGGGGGCACCAGCATCCTGAAACAGCTTGGCAAGGAACATGAGTGCTCCTGGTACACGTTCAGATGGTTTCATCAAGAAGGTGTTTCCACAAACCATAGCCATGGGGAACATCCAAAGAGGAATCATGGCTGGGAAATTGAATGGTGCAATTCCAGCACACACGCCGAGAGGCAGTCGGTAGGTATAAGTGTCCATGTCTTTAGTGATGGAGGGCATGGTCTCTCCCAGTATGAGGGATGTCACACTGCAAGCGTGTTCAACCACCTCTGCAGCAGAAAGGGCAATATGCCACTGGATGATCTGTTAACAATCAGTCCCCAAACTCCCTTCTCACCACTGCCTTGACCCAAGTCTTTCTTCCAGCCTCTTTTCCCACAACTTAAAATTCATTGTGCTCCAGAAAATACCTTTGCTCTGTCAAGCACTGTGAGCTCACTCTGGAGTGCATTCTATGTCACTGCAATAGGAGTACAAACACAACGCCCCCAGTAAAGAAGCACAGGTCTAGATTAGTGTGCCACCTGGGACTCAACCTTAGACATCTGAGCATAAGCGAGTTGTTCTTACCCCTTCACAGCAATTTGTCGTCAGTCCTAGGAAAAAGAAGGATCTAACAACTTGGAAGTGATTTAGGGTAACTCAGTCTAAGGGAACTTTTCAGGTTATAGTTACAATTGCCCCTTTTCTTTCAGAAGGAAGGGAGCTACATGTACAGACTCCCAGAGCAATCAGTCGCTCAGGAGACCTTCTTCCTTCCTAAATGTTCTCAAAGCCCCTTTTTAATAGGAGGAGCCAGCAGCTTACGGAGGCCTCGGAATACATCTCCCTCAGCATCAGCCAGGGTCTTCCCTTGCTCAAAGGTGATGAGTTTTGAAATTTCTTTCTGAAAATGGAAAAGATGAAGTTCACGAACATTAGAGAAGTGCCTGCCCATGAAACAGAATGCAGAGACAAGAGAATTTAACAGAGAGTTGAACATCACAAAGACTGAGTAGAACCTGGGAAAGCCTACAACAATTGATTTGCTCCTTGTAGATAAGAAGCCAATACGGCACACAGGTGACATTTTAGAAAAAAACACCGTGAGTTGGCTTATATTCTAGAGCTTTCCTGCGTCACACCACAGACATACAGAAAAAGCAATCTGGGGAATCCAAAGTCATAGCAACACTCTTGTCCCACTTGTCTTTGTCAACCGGCACATTCTCCATCAAGGCTGAAAGTTCTTCTCGCGGTCTTTTGGTAAAGGGACAAACACAGAACAATATTCACTAAGCAGCACTGCACTGCCTCTCTGTCCCCATTTGCTTGGAGAGCGCTTTGCTATACCTCTCAGTGACAGCATCTCAGTTGGCTCCTCAGTCATAGTAACGACTCATCAAGAACACAGTAAACCCTGAGCCTCTCAATTTAACTCCTGAAGACAACTGCAATGCATTCAGCAACAGCCATCATACACAGCCATGGAGTCTCACCAGATTGTCTTTGATGAGTTGTTGGTAACGCAGGAAGATTTGCTGGCGACTCAAAACAGATGTTTCTGACCAGTTCCAAAAAGCCTTTTTGCAAGAAGCCACAGCTGCCTCCATCTCACTGGCTGTGGCTTTTGGTACACGGCCAACCACTTCATTTGTGGCCTGAAGAAAAAAACAAACTAGTTTAAAAATCAACTTTTTCCAGCTGTCCCTGCCAACCATTCAAGAGTCCGTTCACACCACACACCTAACATCCTTGTTCTACAAGGAGCCGTACTTCTGCGGGGAGAGCACTCCTCCCTTAGTGCACACAAAAGGCCTGGGCTACAACTGGAATAGTTCTGAAAACCTTCACTCTACACATCTCAAATTAGGCACCCAGAACGCTGTAAATGCAGTGCTGATTTCCAAGTTGGAGTTGAAGTGACGTGTCTATCTTGCAGCTTCTAGAGAATATAAGGCAAAGGTTTGTTGACTGGGGTCTTTTCTCTCTGCATCATCTTGGGTCATCTGCTGTCCTCCTTGTGCATTCAATGAGGCAAAGTTCCTTTGGAAAAAGCAGTATGACTTGCACATGACTGTCCAACTGGCACTGATGTTAGTTTACCTAGACCACTAAGCCAAAGTAGGATTTTTACAAGCAACCTTAGTTCTACAGTATTTTAACTTCAAAAGCTTGTCTTTGCCAGTTTAAGATCCTTCTAATGCACTCTTAAAAACTAAACTTGCTTTGACATGATAAAAACATCAGGTACATCACTAAGAGAGAAATTACTCAAGAGAAAGAAAATTAAACAAGAACATTGGTCGCTACATAGAGATCAAGTGAGCTTCACAAACATGGCTTGCTGCTCTCATCACTTCCACAAAGCAAATAAAAATAGTTTTAGAAACTGCTGTCCAAATGCTTATTTAGGGGAGTCAGAAGGGTCAGAATTCTGAGTGCAACCTCATTTCCATTTGTCTTTGGTGGCGGACCCAGACAAATACAAGTGCTGCTAATCTAAGATTATTTTGTACTGCATAGCATCTAACCTCTAAATCACCATGAATATTGTGGCTCACAGATAGAAGCTCTTGGAAAGGAGAGGAGCTTCAGCTGTTAGGATTTTTTACCTTGGTCTGAGAGTGAAATTAGTTTCTCTCAGGACTTCATATTCAGGGATTTCATATACAGGGTGAAAGAAACCATTCAGAAATTTGACATACTGATCACAGAGCCTTTCTATGACCAAAAAAAATGTAAGTGGGGTTTAAGCTTCCTTTCCAGAGATCAGGGTTTTACTACACAGGGGAGATAAAGGAGGTCATCTCTTTCCTAAGCCTGACATTTCATGTGAAGAGGAAATTGAGAAGCAATTACACAGTGTTAAATCCACCTTAAGCTCCAAGTCTAAGCCTTTCTCAAGAAATGTATGTACTTTCCCCTTTTGCCAAATGCTTGAACAGAGGCACGGATTCTCGTTGCACAGTGATCACTAATACATAAGCTGAGGCTATTTAACTTACCGGGTTGTGGATATCAATCCATTCAGTAGTCTTGGACTCAACAAACTTCCCATCAATGAAGAGCTTGGTTGTTGGCTGTGAAGCACAAAACACTGGCCAGTGAGTGATCTTTGTTTCAAGAGGCCCAAATAACAGTGTGCTTTCTGACATGCAAACTATCACCATTTACCACTATGCTGACCATTAGAGAGTCTAGATCCAGTATTTACAGCAAGACCCAGCTAACTGCTTAGGCTGAAGCTTTTCATGCTCTCTGTCCCATTTTTCTCTCACTTTAAACCAAAATGGCCAAAATTCTTTCTAAAAGCAGTTATAGAAAAAATGCATTGCTATGCTTATGCTCAGAACTATTTCAATCTACTTAGAAAACTGAAAAACTGCAGTTCATAAATGTCCAAAAGAAACAGTTAATAATTCACCTTGTGAGAATTCCATGTACCCAGGGCACACTGTACTATGTGCTTCTTTCCCATTAAGCCACTAAGTAGGTTCATCTCTCCAGCTCATAGCTATAGGCATAAAATCGGACTTTCCCCATTACCTACAACTAAGAGCAAAGAACCTGCATCTGCTGAGTTCACAGCGATTGTTCTGGCAGGCAGCATGGAGAACAGAACTCTCCAGCTCAGATGCAGAGGACAGAAAATGAAAGGCTGGAATAAGGAGGTAAACGTAGGGCTGAGGGAAAAGCAGAGGGAGAAGCTGTAACTAGCACTGGATAAGATAAGCAACAAAACTGTAGCACATGGGAAAAAAAATTGGGACTGTATAAATAAAGAGACTGGAAACCAGGAGTTGATACTGGGAGGTAAGGAGAGAACTAGGAGAAATTGAGAACCAAGTAATTGTGCCACAAAACAGTGGCTTGGGGAGAAAAGACATGAGGAAGGAGAAATGGATCTGCTGTGTGAAGAGCAGAAATGGGACACAACAGATCAAAAGAATTGGGCCATAAAAACAAATGTATCAGAGAGCAGCGTAAAGAAATTAGGATGTAGAATTATGAGAGGGAGATGAGGAGTGAGACGCTATCCACGGTAAAGGGAGCGAGATCAGAGGAAGAAAAAAGAAAACAAATGGGGATGGCTGGACAAGTGACAACAGTGAAAAAGTGAATAGCAGTGAGAGCTGCGACAAACTGAGAAAGCAGGACTAGCATGAGAAGTGTAAAGTGAGACTGCTCATGGATAAACAAGACCTACTGATTTGGGAGTTAACACCAGGATTAAGTAAAAAAAATAAAGTTGCAGATGATTATGTAGCTGGAATTGTGCTTGGGAAAGAGGCAGAAGCCTGTGCCTCTGAAAACACAATCCCCTCCAGAACCTGGTTTCTTGACTGTCAGAAAAGGTCTTCTAGTGCTGGTCTAAAGAACAACAAACTCCTGCTGCTCTCAGTGATGCCATTAGCCCAGGTGCCATCTATCTGTTGTGGACCTACAAGCTCCAGTGCTTTATGAGCCATGGGGGCTTCAGTGCAAAGGAATTAATGTTTTTCAAACTGCTTAAAAGGAGTATCTAGAAAACCACACATGCAAAAAAAAAAAAAAAAAATGTAGGCAAGCCAGGAAAGGCTGAATTAAGATTGACTGTACTTTTTCCATAAGGTCACCACCTTTTTTCTGTGGAGAAGGAGCCTGCTGTGGGAACAAGGCCTGCAGTAAAGCAGACTGCCTGGGGAACTGTGATCTGGCTGTTCAGAACTTGGAGACTATGCAGCCAAGGATACGGGAAGAAAAAAGGCACTCTGACAGCGCCAGTAGTTTGATACTGCCCAGCGTAAACCAGATCCTCGCTCTGCCACCAACAGGTGACACGGGGCCAGTCCACATGGCCTGAAACAACGTTTTTTCAGACACTATCGCTAGTCACATATTCTGTACTCGTTTTTGCTCATCTCACTGAACAGCGGGCACTGCTCACCGCCGGGGTCACACAAACCCGCCATCGAACCTCTTCTCGTCCCCTCCCGTTGAGCACCGGGACTCTCCGGTCCCCGGGCACGGGCAGTCCCAAATGTCTGTTCGAGGAACACCGACCCGGAGCGGGCAGAAACCCCACGGGAGGAGACCCGCAGGAAGTCACTGGCCGGCTGCGGAGAGCAGCGGCGGCGCCC